TGTTCTACATGTTATTTGGGTTTGTTCTGAACACTAAACTAATTTTGTCCATTTCACATATGCTTCAAGGAATAAAACATCTGGATATTTCAATGAGAATTAATTTTAAAAGGGAAGTTTTTTTCAACATTGTATTTTTATAGTTCTATTGCTAATTATGCTAATTAATTGAAAAAAGAAAAAGTACCATTTATCAAATCTGACAAAAAAAATACACAGCAAAAAATATTTTCTTTCTCGGTATTTTTGTATTTTGTTTTCCCGTTCAAATATCTAAAGATTCTTAAATGAAGATACATTTACTGGAGATGCAAAATAACTTCAGATATAAAATACAAAATTAAGCAATAAAAATAAAAATAATCTTGTTTCCATTTGAACTGAGTTTATTTTTCTGATCCCATTGGCAGATATTTTGTCTCATTTTAAGCATAAATTTTATTAATTCTGATACATTTTCCAAAAAAACAAGACTTCTTATTTTAAGACATTTTCCTTCTCGAGTAAATGCTGATTTCAGGATGTTTAGATATTTGGAAAACACGTCAGAAATACTGAGGAAGAAAGTAATTTTTTCAGCATATTTTCCCCTTTACTTTCTGATTTGTGATCATTTTTAAAATGGCTAAAGAGATGGCTGATCTTGGTTAAATATCTCATGTAATCAATACAGTAGTTTAATGAACGCAGGAGAGCAGCGGTCATATTTGCTTTGGTCTGTGATCGTAAACAAAGATGAAGTATAATTAGCATGGGAATGATTTCATCTCACAGGTTATGAAGCCTGTAAACGCATCCGTATCCTGAACATTAATACTGTTTATTAAAGCATTAGAAGGACGCAGAGTTTGGCAGATTCCTCGCCTGGAGCTCTGGGTTTAATCGTGAGACAGACGTCTGCTGCTTCTCACATTACACACAATCACATTAGATTACAAGTCATCCGTTATCTTAATCAGAGCGTAAAACAACCACGGTACTGAGCGGAGTCCAAAAACAACAAATCACAATCGTTTCATTCGGTGATGATCCTGAACATTTCATCATGCATTAAACCTGCTTCTGTTTTGAACGTCTGAAAGTCACTTCATATTATTGCATATTATCTCTCATTACGAGAGCCAAACTGCAGCATTGATTTATTTATCTGCTGTTTGGGAAGCAGGACACACTGAGAAACTGGAAAGGTTTTTTTAATGCAAACATCTCGACTCGGTTATTGGGGCTTGTTTGTGTTGATCTTGATGTGACTGATTTGAACTCTTCTGGAAAAACAAACACGCATGTGTACAGTGTTCTGGCAGATAGAGGCGTTTAACGTACTACCAAACTGATCGAAACAGTCCATGGAGACTTTATGGCTGAAAAGCTGATGGGTTACTCCAATAAATAATCTGATTTATAGGAATAGTTCACCCCGAAAAAATTGGGGCGACTCTGAGTTCATCCGAGATCAGGATGAGTTTGTGTCTTCATCAGGTTTGTAGAAATGTACTGATGGACTGGAGTGCTGTGGATTACTTGTGGATTATTGTGATGTTTTTATCAGCTGTTTGGACTCTCATTCTGACGGCACCCATTCACTTGCAGTGAGACACTGATGCAATGCTACATTTCTCCAAATCTGATGAAGAAACAAACTCATCCTGATCTCGGATGGACTGAGAATCTGGACATTTTCAGCAAAATTTCCAGATTTTTTTTGGGCTGAACTATTCCTTTAATGACATTTACATTTCACTCCACTGATCTGAAATCAACTCTCGCTTCAAAGTGCAGAAGGTTTTAACAGAGAAGGGTCCTTGCATGTTAAATGCTCTTCTCTTCAAACGTCTCATTGGTTACAGTCACTTGTAAGGGTTGATCTTTTGACCGACTGTCTAAACTGTTCCGATTGGAGGATTCAGAAGAAGCGTCAGATAGGCACCGCCCACACTGGTTTGATTGACAGCTGTCCGGGCAGCTCTCAGGCGGATACAGACACGTCTGCGAGGCATTCATCACCTTCAGCTCTCGAGACACAGCGGACGGAGAGTCTTCTGGAGATGATGCAGTGGAAGCTGACCAGTCCCGGCAGTCTCTGAGAGTCAGTCCTGCAGAAAAGACACTTGATGTTCTCGATCACCTTTGAGAGAACCGCTTTACGCAGCAGGATGTAGATCCAGGGATCTAGAATGGGGTTGGTCGAGGCAAATCGGATCGCCAGCAGATCTGGATTTTTATCCAGACGTTTCTCCACCGGCGTCTTATAAAGTTGATTGAGAAACACCTGGACCTTGAAAAAAAGACATGATTTAGTTGCCAAATTTTCATGCATTTGACAAAATAACATGTGTAATATGTGCAATGGGGTCCGAAGGAACAACCTCATAACAAATCAAAATAAATGAGCGACACTGAGTGAAGTTATCAGGAGAATGTCATCATCTGGTTTAGTGGTCAATTTAAAATTTTTTATTTTGAATTCGCAAATAAAATAAAGATTATTGGAGTATGTTTTACAAGATATTTCTATTTCAGTCTTTCAAAATTCCATGTTTAATTCAATGTGTTACTTGCTGTTTCTTTGTAAATATCCATGAAATTAACTAGCAATTTCTGAGTGAAAATTGTTTCTACACCACGTTTAATACTAAGAAATTCTTACCTATAATTTAGAATTATAAAACTTATTACATTTTCACAACTTTTGGAGATTTTCACTTCACAGAAAAAAAGTTGTATTTTCATTCACGCAGTAAATTTCACAAATAATTACAAAGAAACAGCAACACGTTGAATTAAATGTGAAAGTATAAGCAGAAAGACTGAAATAACATTTTCTTGTAAAATGTACTCAAATTATATTTGTTTTATTTACAACTTCGAAAAATCATTTTTTAAAAATATTGGCTAGTGGGAAAAAAATGGGTTTTGTTTTGTTTTTAATGAAAATGTTGTTCTTCGGGTTTGTTCTGGACACTATATTAATTTTGTTCATTTTTCCTGATATGCTTCAAAGAATAAAACATCTTGATTACTGACTTTAAAAGGAGAGTTTTGTATTTTATAGTTCCACGGCATCAAAAACCTGACCTTAAAAACAAAAAAAGACCATCAGCCTGAACACAGACACACTATAAGAGATCTTGGTAACTCTTTACTTAAGGCCTTTATAAAGTCACTTTAATGCATTATTTATGCCACTGTGTAATACATTGTGTGTTCTCATTAACAACTGTAACCACTGTTATGATACTTATAATATATTAATTACACCTTTAGAAAGTAGAAAGCATTAAAACATGACAAACAACCAATTTCAGATGCAACAAGGAATCTGCAAATATTATAATGCATTATGAGTTAACTTAACTAACTTATTAATTAACTTGCTAATTATGCTAATAACATGCTAATCATGCTAACAACATGCTAGTAACATGCTAATCATGTACAACTTCGAAAAATCATTTTTTAAAAATATTGGCTAGTGGGAAAAAAATGGGTTTTGTTTTGTTTTTAATGAAAATGTTGTTCTTCGGGTTTGTTCTGGACACTATATTAATTTTGTTCATTTTTCCTGATATGCTTCAAAGAATAAAACATCTTGATTACTGACTTTAAAAGGAGAGTTTTGTATTTTATAGTTCCACGGCATCAAAAACCTGACCTTAAAAACAAAAAAAGACCATCAGCCTGAACACAGACACACTATAAGAGATCTTGGTAACTCTTTACTTAAGGCCTTTATAAAGTCACTTTAATGCATTATTTATGCCACTGTGTAATACATTGTGTGTTCTCATTAACAACTGTAACCACTGTTATGATACTTATAATATATTAATTACACCTTTAGAAAGTAGAAAGCATTAAAACATGACAAACAACCAATTTCAGATGCAACAAGGAATCTGCAAATATTATAATGCATTATGAGTTAACTTAACTAACTTATTAATTAACTTGCTAATTATGCTAATAACATGCTAATCATGCTAACAACATGCTAGTAACATGCTAATCATGTTAGAAACATGCTAGTAACTTGCTAATCATGCTAACAAAATGCTAGTAATATGCTAATCATGCTATAAATATGCTAGTAACTTACTAATAATGTTAACAACATGATAACTATCTTAGAAAAATGCTAATAACATGTTAATCATGGTAACAACATGCTAGTAACATGTTAAATGTGCTAGCAACATGCTAATCATGCTAGAAACATGATAATCATTCTAGCAACATGCTAGTAACATGCTAATAATGCTAAAAACATGATAACCATGCTAGCAACATGCTAATCATGCTAACAACATGCTAGTAACTTGCTAATCATGCTAGAAACATGCTAGCAACTTTGCTAAACATGTTAGAAACATGCTAACATCATTATAGTAACATGCTATTCATGCTAGAATCATGCTAGCAACATGGTAGTAACTTGCTAATCATGTTAACAAAATGATAGTAACTTGCTAATCATGCTAACATCATGCTAGTAACTTGCTAATCATGATAGAAACATGCTAACAAAATGCTAGTAATATGCTAATCATGTTAACAACATGCTAGTAACTTGCTAATCATGCTAGCAACATGTTAACCATGTTAAAAACATGCTAATAACATGTTAATCATTCTAGCAACGTGCTAGTTACAATGCTAAATGTGCTAGAAACATGCTAATCATGCTAGAAACATGATAAACATGCTAGCAACATGCTAATCATGCTAACAAAATGTTAACACCATGCTAGTAACATGCTAGTAACATGCTAATCATGTTAGAAACATGTTAATAACTTGCTAATCATGGTAACAAAATGCTAGTAATATGCTAATCATGCTAGAAACATGCTAGTAACTTGCTAATCATGCTAGCAACATGATAACCATGTAAGAAACATGCTAATAACATGCTAATCATGCTAGTAACATGTTATAAACATGATAATCATGCTAGCAACATGCTAGTGACATGTTAACCATGTTAAAACATGATAATCATGCTAGCAACATGCTAGTGACATGTTAATAATGCTAACAACATGCTAGTCTCTTCTGCTCATCAAGGCTGCATTTATTTGATCAAAAATACAGGAAAAAACAGTAATCTTGCAAAATGTTATTACAATATAAAATAATGTTAACACCATTCTAGTAACATGATAATCATGCTAAAATCATGCTAGCAACATGTTAGTAATTTGCTAATTATGTTAACAACATGCTAGTAATATGCTAATCATGCTAGAAACATGCTAGTAACTTGCTAATCATGCTAGCAACATGATAACCATGTAAGAAACATGCTAATAACATGCTAATCATGCTAGTAACATGTTATAAACATGATAATCATGCTAGCAACATGCTAGTGACATGTTAACCATGTTAAAACATGATAATCATGCTAGCAACATGCTAGTGACATGTTAATAATGCTAACAACATGCTAGTAACATGCTAATCATGTTAAAACCATGCTAGTAACTTGCTAATCATGTTAGCAACATGATAACCATGTTAGAAACATGCTAATCATGCTAGCAACGCGTTAAATGGGCTAGCAACATGCTAATCATGCTAGAAACATGATAATCATGCTAGCAACATGCTAGTAACATGCTAATCATTCTAAAAACATGTTAGCAACATGCTAGTCATGCTAGAAACAGCCTAGCAACCACCCCAGGTACCCTAGCAATATATTTTATACCTATCTGTTTTTCTGACAATTTTAACTTTCAAACTACTTCAAACTTTCTAGCTAGGCTTTTTCAAGCCAACTTAAAGTTTGTCTACAAACTTTTCAATCTAGTTATTTTCTGCAATTACATTTACAATTACACTGTTGAACCATCCCTTACACCTTAACCCACCTTAAACCTACCCATACCACCAAACCTGTCCCTAACCTTACCCGTATCCCATCTCAATAGTAGAAAAAGTGTTTTGCAGTACAATATATTATTCCAATTCTATTCTTTAAAAGAAAAAACTTGTCCCTTTCAGACTTGCATTCTATTTATTTACTGCTTGTTTTCTTGCTTGCATATCATTGCTCTTTTGTCGATTTTGATTGCTTCCATTGTTTCATTTGTAAGTCGTTTTGGATAAAAGCGTCTGTTAAAGGACCAAATGTAAATGTAACTGTAATGAGTACTTTTATACTGTATTATATGTAAGATATTTTTGTGGTAATTAAAATCTAAATATCAAAATAAACGTAGATAATGATTCATTTTGTCCTTACTTTCTGATTAGAGATCACTTCAGATTCAGCAGTTGCTAAAAAAAATGTAATTGATCTCGACTATATATCCAATACTGTATCTACTGTACTTTAGTATGTGAGGTGACACTGTGACCCTGGGATATTTTAGCATGTCTGTCCCTTTAAACACTTTTATCATCATCATCTTCCTCCGTGGTTTATTCTATTCTGCTGCACAATGCAGAAAAACGTAGAGGAAAATCTCACGAAGCAGGCCGTGAGAAAGTTCTTGTTTTGCAGATTTGACAGTCATATCTGAGGCAGCAGAGTGATTGGAGAGATAAAGTTGGCACAATAATATCACAAGAACTTACAACGAGCGGAATGGAGCAAATGAGCACGACTGCGGAGGTGGCGATGAGCAGAATGACCATCTGGATCTCCGCGCCTGCGAGGCGGCTAAAGCTGCGGCTCCTGCCGGGATCAGACGCTCTGCACGGGTCTGTGCCGAGCGACGTGCGCCTGACGAACCTCCGGTGCATCCGGATGAGCGCGGCGCACACCAGCACGTTACAGACCACCGTCACCAGGATCAGCAGCGAGCTGCATCCAGCGTACATGAAGGAAAACGCGGCGTGCGTGCTCACGTTGGTCCGCCAGTCGATGAAGCACCAGGTTTGAGGGTACTGCATCTTCACCTCTCCGAACCCCGCGCTCGGCAGCGCACAGAACAGTATGTTGGACGCGTAAACGGCGAGCAGCGTGACTCCCGCGAGCTTCTTATCCACGTGGTCGTTGTAGAAGTACGCGTGATTGATGGCGATGTATCTCTCGACGGACATGGCGCAGATGATGCTCAGTCCAGCGAGGGAGAAGAAGAGCAGAACGAATCCGAAGTACTGGCACAGGGGGTCTCCATCAGGCCAAGCGCCCTTCACGTAAGTGGCGATGGTCACCGGACTGGCGAGGACGCTTCCCAGGAGATCCGTGACCGCCAGACCGCAGACCAGAGTGTAGAAGGTGGTCTCCTTCTGCTCCCTCCTGGACTTGCAGAGCACCACGATGGCGATCAGGTTGCTGATGACTCCAAAGATGAACATGATGGCCGGGATGGTGGGCTCCATGCTGCGCGCCGCGGTGCTGTTGTCCATGTTAAACTTCTCCAAGTGTCATTTTGCAGGAGTTGCTCGGAGTAAATCCTGCTGGCTGTGAACAAAGCCATGCCCCTCCTGCCTCATATCACAAACTCATAACGGGACGCCCTTACCGAAAAATCACCGCGTCCCGTCAAACACTCACTCAGTGCCACTGATGCTGCTGTAAAATCATAACGCATTGATATCCGCTTTAAACAAGAAGCGCGCATTTCCTTGCAGGGTTTTTCTTTTTTTAAACATTTATTAATTTAGCAGGCATTTTTAAATACAACAAAACGATGCACAAAGAGGAGACAATAGCATGAAAGTTCTAACAATACAAAGATGCAAACATTGTAGAGTTTAACAAGGACAGAAATATTTCTAAATATCAGAAACGAGCGTGTCATTTATTTAAAGAGCATTTTTATTTCGGGCTAGTCGAAATTAAATCAAACAGGTTGAAACCTGTTTTGTTCAGTTTGTCTACAAACTAATAACACTCCCCGTTAAAAAAAATTATTTAGCGTTTTATTAATTTTTCTGATGCTCTGTTTTTTGTTTTCGTTATACATATAATAAATATGATGCATGTTTTTTTAACAAAAAAATCTAAACTAAATTAAACATTTAGTTTTATTTTAGTTATACTTTCATATTAGGCCTATAGCTAATTTAGCTTTTGTTCATGGTGAAATTGAAATGTTAAAAGGCAAAATATGATTGATGTATTGATCTACACTAAGCAACATTTTGGCCTACTGTATGTCTAAGAAAATGTATAATATAATATAATCTTTTCATTTTATATGAATGTTTTTGTCTTTGGGTAAATAAATGTTTTTCATTAATATTAAATAAAAAAATTAATATATTTATTATAATTTTATTTTTATTTTATTATTATTATTTTTTTGTTGTTGGTCCGAAGTTGGCAGGTTTTTCAGGCCTTTTGTCAGCTTTAAATATATATTTCACCCCCAAAATCTCATTTGTTCTTCCGAGGAGCACAAAAGAAGATATTTTGAAAAAAGTTGGAGAGCAAACAACATTGGACCCCATTCACTTTCATTAAGAGAAAATAAATTTTTTTTTTAAATAAAACACTGGGACATTTTTCAGTTGTTGTGTTCCGCAGAAGAAAGAAACTCATACAGCTTTGGGTCGATATGAGGCTGAGTATATTATGACAGATAGTTCATATTTGGGTGAACTATCCCTTTAATCATGCATGGAGAAGAGTTCAGACCTGCTAAAACCAGCAAACCATGTTAGGCTGGTTTAAAATGGGTTTTTTTTTTTCAGCATGGGTATAATTTCTAACAATGGTTGATGTGGCTCCTCCGTTCTGAGTCTGCTATTTGTAATATACATATATGCTGGTGTGCACAGCACAGTTTTGAAATACTTTTAGACTTTTATTCATGACATTTGCGACCAAATTCCCTTGATACACACTAGCAGTCAAACGTTTTTGAACAGTAAGATTTCTAATGTTTTTTGAAAGAAGTCTCTTCTGCTCACCAAGCCTGCTTTTATTTGATCAGAAATACAGCAAAAATGTGAAATATTATTACAATTTAAAACAGCTGTTTTCTATGTGAATCTCTGTTAAACTGTAATTTATTTCTGTGATGCGCAGCTGTATTTTCAGCATCATTACTCCACTCTTCAGTGTCACATGATCTTCAGAAATCAGTATAATATGCTAATATTCTGCTCAAGAAACATTTATTATTATTATTATTATGTTGAAAACAGCTGAGTAGAATTTTTTCAGGTTTCTTTGATGAATAGAAAGTTCAGAAGGACAGCATTTATCTGAAATAGAAATCTTTTGTAACATTATAAATGTCTTTATCATCACTTTTGATCAATTTAAAGCATCCTTACTAAATAAATGTATTAATTTATTTTAAAAAATATATATATACTTGCTCCAAGCTATTGAATGGTAGAGTGTATAATGTTACAAAGAGCTTTTTATTTCAGATAAATGCTGATCTTTGGATCTTTCTATTTATCAAAGAATCCTGAAAATGTACTTTTGAATATTATTATTATTAATAATAATCAGAAATGTTTCTCGAGCAGCAAATCAGCATATTATACTGATTTCTGAAGATCATGTGACACTGAAGACTGCAGTAATGATGCTGAAAATACAGCTGCGCATCACAGAAATAAATTACAGTTTAACAGATATTCACATAGAAAACAGCTGTTTTAAATAGTAAAAATATTTAACAATTTTACTGTTTTTACTGTATTTCTGATCAAATAAATGCAGGCTCGGTGAGCAGAAGAGGTTTATTTAAAAAAACATTAAAAATCTTTCTGTTCAAGAACGTTTGACTGCTAGGGTAGATGTAAAAAAAAAAAAAAAAAAAAATACTTTTAAAAAAAATAAAAAATAAATAGTGCAACAGAAATAACATCACACCTCTTTACGTAAACCGGACTGACATCATTGCTGGATCGCAGAGCTCAAACTCCTCGTGTCTCGGTTTCTCAGCATCACTCAGAGACAAAGTGCTGAGAAATAACCTCAAGTCAGTGTCATTCACAGAAATTGAACAGCTTCCAAAGAAAACCGCTCAGACTTGATGTGCATTCAGAGGAATTACGGACATTTTGACTCAGTATGGCTATTTTAGTTGGTTATTTTGCTATGCACACTTTGAATTAAACATGCATGAATAAGTAAAAACAATAGTAATAGCTAAATGTATGACAAATGCTTGTCTATCAGTTTAACAAGCTGCTGAAGACTGACTTCTGCTTAGTCAGGAAGACATGCTTTACACAAACATATGCTTAAGTGTTCAAGTTTAGACTTGTGTCACCCCAAAGACACTGTTCAAAGCAATAAATTAACCCTACAACTATGTGGTGAGTTTAGATATGAATGTGTAATCATAAGCCGATCTCGGCTGCATGCTGAGGTTTTGGCTCATGTTTTGAGTTCTTGTTTTTATTTCTAAACAACATCAATCTTACAGTAACAGCACAATTACCTTTACAGCAGGAACAAGCACAGACACGCGTGTTTGCCAGCGAACCGAGTGGAAAATCACTGTTTCATTCCACCTGAGACAGATACATTTTAACAGATGCTGCATTATATTTAATATTTGGAAACAGTTTCTGTGCATAAGAGATTTAAAAGTTAGGAATCAGCTTGGACTGAAATGACAAGCATCGCTTTATGACATGTTAAATAAAACCATAAAAAACTTTTGTTACTTAATAAAACATAAATGCAACCATACACTTGTTACCAAGACATAATTTCTAATTTTCATTTAGCTCAACTAAGTACTAAAATAACTAAAACTGAAAAAAAAAAAAAAAAAATGTGACTACATGTCTAAATAATTCTAAGCAGCTAAAAAGTAAAAAATAAAAACTATATATATAAACAAATAAAAAAACGAATAAAAATGACAAAAAAACACACAACAAAATTACTAAAACATTAACTAAATTTAACATGAAAACAGAAAATGTAAAAACTAATTTAAAATAATAAAAACAATAATAGTATCTCAATTATGCTAAAAAGTCTACTTGAAATAAAATAAACAGAAATAAATTAAAAATAAAAACTTAAACTTATTTTATTTCATCTGGTTGCCAAGGCAACATTTCTAATTTTTATTAACTTTATGTACTAAAATGACTAAAACTGAAATAAAAATTAATAAAAATACAAACACATTAAAAAAAATTTAAAATAAAAATGACAAAACTACACAGCAAAATTACTAAAACACTTACCATAATTAAAATAAAAACAAAATATATCAAACTAATTCAAAACATTCATTATTTTAATGAAATAAAATAAACTTAAATAGAACATAAATTAAACCTTAAACTTATTTTATTTAATCTAGCTGCCAGAACAACAGTTCTCATTTTCATTTAGGCTAACGATGTACTAAAATAAATAAAATAATAATATTAAATAAAAAACTAAAAATAAATTACAAAAACACAACAAAATTACTAAAACTTTAACTAAAATAATAAAAAAAATTATAATAATAATTAAATATTTAAAATAATAATTAATAATTAAAATAAAAAAAATAAAATAAAAAAAACCAGAATATAAAAACTACTTACAAAAATATTAATAAAAACTAAAATAGTATCCCAACGATAGTAAAATAGATCTGTTCTGGTTTCTCAGGATTTCTTCCATGATTGTTAATGTTAATGGTGTGATGTGAGGCCATACTGTACGTCCATCTATGATTCATATGATCTGTTGAGGACAGGATTTGAGCATGTTTGCTCTGCTCATGATAACAGCGATGTCCTTAAACAAAAGCATCTCAGTGTTGTCTGGATGAGAAATAAACGGTTTAGATTGGCAGCGGCTGATGACTCGATATCTCAGCCAACACTCAAAACTCAATGTACGGTCTGTCTGTTTATCCATTTTAAAGAGCAAAAATCACATGTAATGGAAATTTTAAAAAGCTCTTGTTTGAAGACAGAATCTAATGTTTGTTTTGGTCCCGGAAACAAACGAAACACTTTATTGAAAGTCCTGATTCATGCAGATCGACGAGAGGAAAAGCTGCAATCAGTGCATGTGAAGACATGATTAGAATCAGCATCAGATTCGTATCAGTTTGAGGGTTTCAGGTTATGTGCCAGAAGAGACCAAACCGATCATTTTCACATGAGAACCTAAACAGAGCAAGAGGAAACAGCGCTTGATAGCCAGAAACGTAATGCAGCAAGATGATATTTTAAGCTCCTTATGTAGCCGAATCTGCACTGGTTTGAATGGGTCGCCTCCAGCTAGCGCTATGACGTCGCTGACCCTAGTTACCTGTGGTTGGCCTGGCCATGCGTCACTCAGAAAACAACAGGCCAATCAGAAGAGAGGCTCATGAATATTAATTAGACAGGCCAAAATCGACCTGTTCTCAGCAGAGCTCCTGAGAGAGGAGCTGTAAAAATATATTGAGATGGTTTTTGGTACTTATACCGCAAATATATATTCTTAAGGACATCAAAACCTAAAATAAAACTCTAGAAAGGTGTAAAATATGGGACTTTTAAAGCTCACTCTGATGCTGCATCATAATACGATTACTGCATAAAAAGGCCCAGAATACATTTGATTCATTTAGTAGC